CGCGGGAATGGCGCCTTTTGCACCCGCTCCCGTGCCTGGGCGCCTGGTTCCTGCTCACTCAGGGAGGGACCTTCACCTCAGTGAGGACCTCCGCGCGTCTCCCCGCAAGCCTAGGTCGTCTCCCCGCAAGCCTAGGTCGCAGGCGCGGAGACCTGGGCAGCCGCGATCCAGGTCTGCACTTGCTTTTCAAGCGCGCCGAGCGCGCCGCTTTCCCGCGCCAGCTTACCGGCAGCCCGGGCTGTGTGCGCGTCTCCCGGGGTCTTTGTTCTTCTCTAACGGCGCCCGGAGCCGTTCGCTCACCGCTGCGGCGGATCCTGCAGGGTTCGCCTCAGCTCCCGTTCACGGGGTGTGGTGGCTGCAATAGTTCCTTTCCGCTCACAGTCCCACTTGCTGCGTCGTTTGTTCTTGTGGGCCGTTTTGGTTTGTTGTTTCCTCCTCTCTGCCGGTCGGAGAGTGCCGCCTCTGTGGGCGGGGGAGGGGAGCAGGGTTCTGCGCTTCCCTCCCTTCTAGTCCTCTTTTATGGCCAGTTTCTTCTTCGGGCAGTTCGCTGGCGTCACCCGTTTATCTTCCGTGTCCGGTTCTCACTGGACCTGCCGCTTTTCCTCCCTATTCACTTTTTTTAATGGGAGATCTTACTCGCAGCGTCTCCTTGCCGCCATGTTGCTCCGCCCCGACTCATTCTGGTTATTTCTATTCAACATTCTTAATTCATTTTTAGTTGATTTAGGGAAATACTCACATCCCCAATATTCAAAATTCTCAAAATTTACAAAGCATTCTTATTTTAAGCTATCAAAAGCTAAAACTGTCTGGTACGGCAATGCTTATCATGAGGTATAATTCTGGAAATTTAAAAATATAAAAAATGCCTAAAAGGCAATAGGACCTAATCATATTTAACACAAATGTCTATGGACATGTCTATGCCAAAGTCTTGTTCTACTAGTATCATAGAGTGCTGAATAAATCACTTGAGCATTTTTGTTTAGTCCTTGCCTGATATAGGCATTATGCTGGGAACCGGGAGTGTTATAGAGAACCAGCCACAATTTTTACCCTCAGAGATTTAACAATCAAGGGTAGACTACAGTGGACAATTAATGAACATAACACAATGGACAATAAAAAGTTTCTTGAAATTTGTAGTCTATTTCACTACATAGATCATTGAAGTTTTTAAAAAACAGCCTGCTTCTATTAAAAAAAAGGAAAAATATTCATTCCCCATATATCTTTGTACTGATGTCCATTTTTTGCCATTTATTTCAAAACTTATATGAGTGAAAAGCAGAGAATGACAAGTTATCTGCCACTTCTGGCTTTCTCACAGCTGTAGTATTGCTGCTATCACTTCCTTTCTATGGGCCCTCAGCTAGCTATACATCTTTTGAAGAGCTCACCAAGTTTAGTATTCCAATTCCCCAGGTATATTAAAAAAAAAAAAAGCTGTCTATCTCCTTTCTCTGCTAGACATGGTTTGATTTTTCCTTTTTTTTTTTTTCACAGTGATACTAAATTGCAGGGTACAAGAAATGTATCTAGATAAAGTGAATTTCTCTACTTTTATTCATTATCAAATACACTTTCAATAATATTCAAATATTACATGTTTTGATTCCTGCCATGTGCCAAAGGTAGGATGCTTTCCACTTTTCAGTCTGGAAACTTGGAACTCATTTGGCTCACTTGGTATCTTGCCCCCACACGGGGAGATTTTGCCCACAGCCAAGTCCTCATAGGTGACACCTGGATATCTGGATTTTGTTGTTACAGAGTTTTGGTGATCACTGGGAGAAGAGAGGGATAGTCTTATTTCTTTTATTAATGTTAGGGGCATCTTGTCATAGCACTTTACCTTATTAGGTATGCACAGGAGGGAGAGCTTTCTGTTCTTTAATAGAAACATTAATAAAAAGGAAGTTGTGTATTGTAAACAAAGAATTGGTTTTAGAAAGGAATTTTAGAGCATTATATATTCTCCTGCATGTTCCATTGAGGCAGTTTGTCTTGGAAAAAAGGTTTGTGGATCTTTTGGATGAGCCAGTCACGATCCATTCAGCCCATCTAGTTCCATGAGAAGGAAGTGTCTTATCAAATGCTATTGGTTGGAGATTAGGATTTCTCCATTAGGATTTTCCTAATGATGTCCTATAAAAGAAATGTTGTGTTGCTTTTCTGTTTGTCCTAAAGCAATGTACTGCATGCACCATTGTAAAGAATCTTGTGAATAAGTGCTCTGTGAATTTTGGTTATATTGGATTGTTGGAAAAATCATGATGCAATTTTGCTTGAAAACATAGAAAAATACATCATGTGACAATTAAATGATCTATAAAAGGTTCTTTTGACAACATATGATTTACCTTAGACCAAGAAATCCCTTTACTTGGACTTCTTAGCACCTGTTTTTCTACCATTTGTGGTGGAAAGGATTATAACTATCTCCTCAAACCATTCTTACCTTCAAAGTTCAATTCAGACATCACAACTTCTACCTCTACTTGAAGATTCTTTTTCTGCTTAAAATCTGTTTTGGAATTTAACTATTTTATATAATACGGAGGGTTATAGAGTAGCCTCTATGTTAGGGATTTCCTTTCTTTTTATATCATTTCCATAACCCTTTGACTGATTCTGTATAAGTTAAATTAATGGAAAAGAAAATGTGACTTCAAAATAATAAAAACTTGAAGTTTAAAAAAAAATACATCATGATTTTTCTGACAACCCAGCAGTTCTTCAGGAGCAAACAGAAGAACCATCATTACTGCCTGGACTCAGGTGCCTGGAAATAAGTAGCATCTGTTGTTTTATAAATATATCTCCAGGTTCTCCCAGTAATTATTTGGAGTTTTATATCTTCAGATGTTTATCTTTGTAACTAAGGATATTTTCCATACTTGGTTAGTTTATATTATTTTAGAAAAATGACTCTGAAACTGAGCTTTCAGTTAAGCATATGTTTACTTTATCATGGATCCTGTGACAGATGGAAGTGTCTTCATCTGTAAAATGGGGGTATCTGAACCATATGGTTAATAAGAAGATTTATGTGATCACATACAAACTGTATGACATTATACATCTATTAATTGTAATGATGCTTGTGCTCCAGAATCAAATGTACACATTTTGTGGTTCAAATAAAAAACAGAGACATACACACACACATATTTAAACACAAATGTGAAATTCACTCATTATATAAGCTCAAGGGTTAATTACTACATGATCACAAAATGGGCAACAAAATTTGGGAAACCAAGTGAAAACGTTCATTGCATTTATTATTTGCCAGGGAAAAGTGAAAAATCAACAGATCCAATCTTTTACTTAATAGATGCAAATAAAACTACAACTGAAGCTGAGGAGTCACATTTTTCTTTCATTTAGTTATTAAGTGTGAATTTATCTTTTTGAAACTTAAAAATGATGTTTTTGCAGATTATGATGGGCAAATTGGCAACACTTAGAATAGAATTGCACTAAATAATGAATATTTCTCTATAACAGAATAACAAATGGTGAGTTATAGGGCTATAAAAATGTAATAACTGTTAATAATTACTGCCCTTACTAACCTTACTGGAGAGATAATGATGAAGCAAAGTTGGCATGAAAGAATACAGCATAGTATATTTTGTGATTGTATTTGTATACCCATGGCAATGGCAGGGTGTGGGCTTAGGAAGGTGATAGATGATAAAATCTAGAATGTGTGGGGCAGAAAATGGGAAAGGAGAATGGTTCAGGAAGACTTTTATTACTGCCTTCTCCATGGAGCTTGTGAGTGAAGGTGAAGGGACCTATAGCTATAAAACAATAACAGAATTATAGTAAACACACTTGAATTACATCAAACTGAAAGGCTCTGTACAGCAAAAGAGACATAACCAAAACAAAGAGACACCCCACTGATAGGGGAAAAAGTCTTGGCACTCCATACAACTGGTAAGGGACTGATCACAAAGACATACAAAGAACTCACATGACTCAACAAGAACAAAGTAAATAATCCAATCAAGAAATGGGCAGAAGAACTTAAAAGACACTTCCCCAAAGAGGAAATGCAAATGGCCAACGGGCATATGAAAAAAATGTTGAACATCCCTTATAATCAAGGAAATGCAAATCAAAACCACAATGATATACCACCTTATACCAGTAAGAATGGCACATATCAGAAAAACTAGGAACAACAAATATTGGCGAGGATGTGGTAAAAAGGAATTCTCCTACGTTGCTGGTGGGGGTACAAACTGGTCCCACCACTATGGAAAGCTGTCTGGAGTTTCCTCAGTCTACTAAAAATGGAGCTACCATATGACCCAGCAATTCCACTCTTAGGGATCTACCCAAAGGACACAAAAACATTGATTCAAAAGAATACCTGTACTCCTATGTTTGTTGCAGCACTATTTACAATAGCTAAGCTATGGAAACAACCCAAATGCCCAAAAATAGATACTGAATCAAGAAGATCAAAATATACACAATGGAATACTATTCAGCAATCAAAAAAGATAAACTAATGCCATTCGCAGCAACATGGATGGAGCTAGAAGAAATGATGCTCAGTGAAATAAGCTAGAAGGAAAAAGAAAGCTATTGGATGGTTTTGCTTATAGGAGGAATATAGGAGAACCAAATAAGATATCGGGGGAAATATAATAATAATAATACAAAACACAATACAACAAAACAAAAACAAACAGACAATTATAAACCAGAGATATCCTGCAGGGGAGGAGGAGGGAGAGGGATCAGAGGGAGGGAGAGAGGAGCCCAGGGGACTGTGGTGATGGTGCACAGGTAAATTGGTGAAGGAAATTCTATGTGGACTACATCTTTGGGGTGGGGATGGAGGCAAATATTGTTTAAAAATTAACAATAATGTAAAATATATATAAATATAAAAAGGGGGGAAGAATTCTAGTAAACATAGGTAAATATTTGAAAACCCAATGTTGCTTATTTTTTTCCCTCTTGTTCCCTTCCAGATGAGACTCCAACCAACAATTCACAGCTTGGTAAGATTATTAACATACAATGAATTTAAAAGTATGATTTTTTTAAAATGTTAATTATTTTCTGATGACTAGCTAACAAAACTGCCATTATCTAAATGTATTGATCTCTGCTCTTTTATATTTATTCTGTTTTAAATAACAGCTCCCTGAGGACTTCTAAACTCATAGGCAACTTGTTGATCAATTTTCACTTTATTCATTTAACTTATACCATTTTAAAGATCTGTTTTTTTAACTACCTTAGGGATTCTGGGCCATGGAACCACACAATCTTTTGGGTATTGGGTTGAATTACAAAGCAATAGATTGTAGTATAACCCAGTGTCATATTGTTTCTACAAGTTCCTGGTGACAGATCTCTTAGGTATACATTGGGATAAGGTGATATAAATCTGATGTTGGATCTTTCACTGTGTGTGTTTTATCCCTTGTAGGTTCTCCAAACCAACCTCCTTTCCAGCTGAACGCAGTCACCAGTGCGCTAATTTCAGGTGTGGTCATCCTGGGGGTCATGAGCTTTTCCCTTCTCCTGTGCTCACTGGCCCTCCTGCACAGGAAGACACCCACCAGTTTGGTGTTGAATGGCATAAGAAACCCTGTTTTTGATTGACTGTAACAGGTCCCTGGTCTTGTGAAGGCTTTGCTGACTGTATCTTGTGATCAGTCAGTGCTCCATCTGAATTGAATTCCAGCCAGCGTTCGGTATTTGTAAGTTTGATAGATTTCACTGTGTAGCTTATGAACATGATAGTGAAAGAATTTGGATAATATTGTTCTTGTCACTTATGTGTGTGGTCAGCCCTATTTGCATGGCACCAATAGGTATACTGATAATAAACAAAAGATATACAGGACTTAGATCCCACAGTCTGTCATTTTCCTTTTATTTCAACTTTTTTGATCATTAGTTATAGAGATTAAAAAGTAGGCATAGGAAAAAAAAAAAGGAATTTGTTGCATATTCTCCCTTAAGCATCACAATTCAATGTGATGGTATTTAGACTACACATGTGGTCCTAAAATGAAAGTTGCTTTTTTGTTTTATTCCAGCTTAGGGATATGTTTTAATTGGACTGGTCAGTTTGGACTCCTAAGATTTAATTAATCATTCTATGACCTTCCTGTGATATTGGCTAGCTTCCATATCTGTTGAAATTCATTAAAGAAAACCAAAAACTCTTGGGAAATGTATCTTAACCTGGAGCATCCCTTTGTGTAGCAAACACTAAAAATATTCATTAACCTCCAGAAGATACTAAATGGCCCTAGATCATTATTCATTTGGATAGGGCTGGCCGTGATTGGTTTTCCTCTTCTGGTTCATGTGAGAACATCAGCACATGTTGACTCTCCTCCCAGGTAAACAGCTCAGCTGCTGTCACAGCTGTGTTTCCAGCAGTGAGGTAACTGCAAAGATTATTCTTAATTCAGAACCAGTAGATGGGAAAGCCGACTGTAGCTGTGGAACATTGTCCCCGCCAGGAAGCAGAGTATTCCTATGCGCATTTTTAACAACCTGTGTTCTTTTTTCCCTTAGAACAAAAATGAAACAGGTTAAGTGTATTTTGCAGAACATTGTTGAAGTCTCCATGAAAAAAATGTTCTTTTTCCCACAAATTTCTGATGTGGGAAAAACAAATTGGAGGTGGCCTTCTTTTTAAAGTGTTTTGATTGGCATAGAATAAACACTTCGTTTCTTTAGTAGTAAAGTAAAAAGAACTAGTTGATCTTTATCAATATTTGCAAAAATATTTTAAAAAACCCGTGTTTGAAGCAACATGTGTTCTTATAAAAATATCAGCCTTCCCTTTGTTTGTGTTTATTTGCACCGTTGAACAAATGAAAACGTTCAATGACGAATCCCCAAACCTACGGTGAGCAGCTACTGGAATTCCGGTGGTAACTGTAAAAATCACTGTAGAAGCTAACTTTTGTTCAACATTCAGGACTTAATTTACTATACTACCTGTAAATCACTATGCGATTTTAGATTTGCTTTAAATGAAGTGTCTGCACTCTCATTAATAATTAAATTAATCACCAAATCAAAAACCTTTTTTCCAATTTGCCTGAATAGTTCAGAAGAAATTGTTTTTATTATGGTAATTAGATATATAATTGCCTTAACTTTCTATTTCAAGGTATAGACACAGAGTGAATGGAATCTAGAAAGTTTCTGGATAATTTTTAATATAAAAAAGTGTGTCATTTAAGAAGTCAAGCTCTTCTTCCTTGTGTTACTTTAAAATATCTTTGAAATGGCTATTCGGAATTATCTGTGTTAACAAATATATTTTTTAATTTAAAAAGAAAGACTTTTCTTTTTAAATTATATGGAGCATACTATTTATGTGGCCCTATGTAGATGTTGATAATATTGGAATATTCTGGAAATATCTATCTCAGATACTTTAAGTGAATTTATTTTGATCTGAGAATGAAGTCCTTCAAATAGGACATTACATCACAGAAGCCAGTTTGATTTTTGTGCCTTAGGATGGCTACTGTTGCAACTGCTGACCTTTTAAGTTCTAGATACTATTTTATAACACTGGATATTGGACATATTTTGCAAGCAATTTAAATCTCATATTGTTATTTTGTTACCCTTTTATTATAAATGGGAGAGTCAGAGCTATAATGAAACAAACCAGGCTTGTTTGATATAGCTTGGTTCTTAAAGGCCTGAAGTTATATGTAGTATTTAGTTATACTGAATTATCCAGTTGCTATAGTGTGACATCCTTACAAAATACGTGCAAATGTTCCTTCAGTTTTAATACCTCAAACTGTTTTTTGCACTTCAGGGGTAAGGTCTGATGACATGTAAAAGATGATTGTTTAATAAAATAATTATAAATGAATATTTTAAAATAGTGACCTGTTTTATTTTTAAATATATTCTCCTGCCTACTCTCAATATTCTATTCCTACTTCAACAAATATTAAGATTAAACTTAAAATCAGTTGTCTGATCCAACAGAGTAGCATCTGCAGCTGGATGAAGGCTGACCTCCCCAAACTGAGTTTCCTGTGATGGGTGACATATTTGTGAGATCAACTGAGGGTAAACAAATAACTTTACCTTGAGTTTGAGTTCTAATTAAACAGAGTCTATGATTTTTAAAACTTTGAGGGGAAAGTAAAAGCTGGAAAGACTAAGAGCTCAGCTTTTTTTTTAAAGATATATTTATACAAGAATCGGGGTACAGGCCAGATATGCGGGAGGGTAAGAGGATTCACCAGAGACAGAGGCGGGGAACAGAACAGGCAGACTGACAAAATGCACTGCTGATGGGAGTAGCGGGCAAGACAGGAGAGGTCTGCTGCACCATTGGGACCCTCGCCCGCCAGCGGGGATGGAACCTGTGCTGCAGAGGCTGCAGACAGCTTCATAGCGGTGCTCAACTGCCTGCGCCTCCAGGGGAGGCACAAGAGCTCAGCTTTTGACCAGAGTCACATAGTCTCTCATGACAGTTCCATCAGGGTCTGGTTGTCAGCCCTTGTTTTGGGGTGTGACACAGACTTAAGGAGAAATCCTTTTTCTGACCCAGGAAGGATTCAATCTTATGGAATCCTTTGTGAAGATCACAAAAGAATGGTTCATGAAAGGTATTGTCAGTGTGGAAAATGCAGGGCGGTAAACATATAAGGGGAGAAAGGAGCAAAGAAGTTCAAGGGAGACACTGTGAATGCATGTGAGGTATGGTTTGGGGGATGCACTTGGCAGTAGGGAATCATAACAGCTTGGAGAGGCTTCTGTCATGATGGTAGGGGTTAATGGGTCAGCACACATTTGTTTTCATTCCATATTTATTTAAAAAAGAGCAAGCTGATCATAGAGGAATTATTTTTGGCAATGAAATTCCTCAATTATTGACAAGTGGGGAGACATTTGATATAAACAATCCAAATTCCTAATTTGGAAAAAAATTATACTTGGTGGTAAATGAAATAAATACCAGTGTTAGCTGGCATTTAGGGCCCTCCAGAGAAAAAGAACTAACAGAATGAGTGTATACATACTTATACATATATAAGATATATAAATCCATTCTATGTATTTGTTTATTTTAAGGAATTGATTTATACAGATAAGAAAGCTCATAAGTCCCAAGCTCTGCAGTCACAAGCTGGAGCCCCATGAGAGCTGGTGCTGTAGCTAGTCCAAATCCAAAGGCCTAAGAACCAGAAGAGCTGATGGTACGTTCTTAGTGTGAAAGCCAGCAGGGTAAAGACCTAAGAAGAATGGCTATTTCAGTTCTAGCTCAAAGGCAGGAATAAACTAGTATGTCTGTTTCAAATGCAGTCGGGGCAGGAGTTTCTTCTGACTCATGGAGGGGCCAGCTCTTTCTTCTGTTCAGACCTTGGACTGACTGAAAGTGTCTACCCACATGAGTGAGGGCATTCTGCTTTACTCATTTATTCAAACGTTAGTATCACCCAGAAACACAACCACATACACTATAGACACAACCAGAGTAATGTTTGAACAAATGTTTGGGCAACCTGTGGCCTGATATAAAATTAACCATCACAACTGGCATATGTGTAAACAAACCAACTGTATGTATCACACTGCTAAAAATGAAAAACCCTAATCCAGTGACATTCAAGGAATGAATAAATAAAATTTTATAACATTTGACAGTCTATAATTGAAATAATTTTGAAATATTTGTTGTCTTGATTTAGGGGCTTATGCTCAGAGGGCCCTTTTATTAGCTAATAATAAGGATCAAATAGAGCACAGACAGCACTATGAATTAGACGGGCAGTAATGAGCTCTAAACTCACACCAAATTATCCCACATCAACAGGAGAAATAGGGCAGGAGGAAGCCTGGCATCAAAGTGCTGACTGCAGCCAAATTATGGAATCAACCTAAATGCTCGTTGCCAGGGCCATGGATTAAGAAGTTGTGGTAGACACAATGGAATACTACTCAACTATAAAAAAAAGATGAACTTTTTTCTATTTGTGACAACATGGGTGGAACTGGAGGGGATTATGCTAAGTGAAATAAATCTGAAAGAGAAAGATACCAGATGATTTCAGTCATATGGAATATAAGAAAACAAACATTCAGCAACAATAATGGCAAAACACAAAGGAACTGACAAAGCTAAACCAAAAAATCCACTAGAAACATGACTGTGAAATTGAGCATCTAGAAGGGGAGGGGAATAGAGGTGGGAACAAAAGTAGCAAGGGGCACAATTGTCTGGTAAAGGACTATGGGTGTTGGATGCTAGGGGTAGAGTAATATCAATCCGGTGTGAAGTATTCTCTTAAATCTTATATAGTGTTTTAAACCAATGTTACCTCAATGAAGGAAAATAAAAAGTGTTGATTGCACCCATACCCTGCAAGTTTGGACTGAGGGTGCTGGCAGCTGATGCTGAGTGAGTCACAACATGAGCATTAACAACAGTCTATAAGTGGTGAAGAACATGAAAGAACACAGCAGAGGTGATAGGGAACAGATGTGACAAGAAAAGTGCTGGACATTTGGAGAGGCAGCTTCTCAGGGGGGGATGAATTAGTGGAAGACAAAACTAGAATCTTTGATAGCTGTTACCTGTATTCCTCTTGATGGTGGCCTGTCTCCTCCAGAGGCTCAAAGGAAGTGAAAACTGGATAAACATAAATTACAGTTTCATGTCTATGAGAATATCTTGCCTGATAGCTTTTTGGTTAACAACATCAGTTTCTGCACACTTGAGTAGCACAGAAAACTTAAAATAGCTTCAATAAATGCCACTTTTTGCTGACATAGGAAGGAGAGAATTGGTTTTGGGGGCTTCTGCTCATGGGTACTAGAGATAATATTTGGAAATTTCTGCTCAGTAAACTTCATTTATGAAATGCTTTGTATTCTTGGCAGAGTAGAATTGAGAGCTGAGATTGTTATCTGCAAAGTTTAAACCTCCTATTCCCTTTGGCTTCAAGTATCTGGATATTTCCTGTTTTACTTAAATTGTCAACATAATTACCTCAATTTTCCCTTCATTTTCTATGTTGAAAAGAGAAGTGCTATCATGAGATGGAAGTTTAGTCAAAGGCAATGTGGTCCAAATTCTGAGATTAGGTTCCATGAGGAGCGTAGCTGGAGTAACAGAGCCCAGCACAGAAGCAGCTACTGAATGGTCTGCTGCTTTGGCTAATCGACTAGCGCTGATCCTGGGAGAGTTGTGCTTTGACAATATCAGGCACCCTGACTCAAGTTATACAGGTCCTGAGACTACTACTTGTACATAGTTTTGTCTTTTTTATTCTTATGGTAGTGAGCTTTTGATTAAAATGAAAAAATTACCCTCGAAGAAATATATTACTTTTTAGAAATAATTTACCATTTGGAATTGGAACTGATTTCTTGTTTAAACGCTATATATATTTTGTCTTTGATAAAACGACATGCCTTCGAGTATCTTCCAGAGAGAAACTGAATCCAGTAATCCCTTTTAAGTCCTATAAAGGTAAATCATAGATTTTATTTTTTACATCACCCTCCTCAAAATACAAATGGAATAAAGATGTTTAACTATTTCTTACTAAATTTGTCAAAACTTTAATGTTTTTTTTTTTTCCAGTTGTTAGTGGTATGTAATGGGAATTTCTCTTAGGACTAGATCAGGAACTCTTTTTCAAGTTGCTCTTGAACATTATGATTAAACCAATAGGACAGCATTTTTTTTTACACAAGTGAATAATTGCAGAGCTATTCTAGCTTAAAAAGTGTATGCACATTTGGCTTTGCGTTCACAGTTGTGTATGCCTGGTCACCACACCAGTGATTCCCAAATCCATGTTGTATACTCTCCCAAAATAGTATTTTCATCAGCCCACAGTCATTTTCCTTTCTCTTTGCTTTTTGTGTATAGGAATCAGCTTGGTGGGAAGTCTATATAATTTTTGGTTTTGATATACACACAATTTGAGTTAATTAGAAAAAGGTACAATTGAGTTGGATATTAGATAAAAGATTAAGTGGCAAAATGTCAGAGATATCAAAGGTTTCTGTACTTTTTCTTCTATTTTTAATTCCTAAAACTTTCAAACTTATAGGAAAATGCAGAGGACAATGTAACCATCTTAAAAGTATTTCCACTCTTGATTATAATAAATACATATTTTGTTTTAATTGCTTCAGATCTCTAAAAAGAAATTTGCATATAAGTTGAATTCCAGTTTGTTCTCCTATTAATATAATTTTTTATCTCTGTGTTCAGAGATAATCACTATCATAAATTCAGTGTATTTCCTTCCCAATCGTATTTTTCTATTACATTTGGATAGTTTCCAAACAACAGAGTTTTAATGTTATCATATGGTACATTTCCTTATCATTTCCTTATACATTTCCTTTGGCATTTTGCCTTTTGAAATTAGTAACAAGTTATTAAGATATCTTCCTCAGAAGGATCAGTTCCATGCCTTCTTTATATTATGTTTGCCTGTTAGTGTGCCAACACCTCTGGCGATCATTATTATAATTTAGCAATAATTACTTTGTAAAATGTCTATATATTTTGTAAGTAAGTCCCCTCCACACCTTTTTGGCTTTCAAAATTCCCTTGGCAATTCTTAGGTCATTGCTTCTTCACATGGATTTTCAAATCACATATCATAACAAAAATGATGTTAGAAATTTATGGAATTGCATTGAAGTCCAAGATTAATGGGAAATCACTGTGTTTTTGATACTGAGAGATTTTCCATCATCAGTAATGGTCTAGTTCTTATTTTCTAGTCTTCCAGTATTATCTTCAATTGAGTCCTGTGCTTTCTCTATAGGAGTAGATAATTACATTATAGAACTTTTGTTAGATTTATACCCAGTTATAGTAT